GGGGGTGAGAGAGAGACAGAGAGAGGTAGAGAGAGAGAGAGAGAGATACACATACATACACACACACACACATATACACACACAATGGAATATCACTCGGCTGTTAAAAAAAAAAAAGATTAAAAACTGCCATTTGTAACATGAATGGTTCTTGAGATAATCATGCTAAGCGAAATAAGTCAGATAGAAAAAGTCAAGAACCACATGATTTCACTCATATGTAGAATATAAAACTGAAAGCAACAAACGAACAAGTCGAACAAACGAACAAAAATTCATGGACACAGACAACGGTTTAGTGGTCACCAGAGGGAAGGAAGGACGGAGGAAGGTAGAGAAGGGTAAAGGGGGTCAAATATATGGTAATGGAAGGAGATTTGACTTTAGGTGGTAAAAACACAATGCAATATATACAGATGATGTATTACACAATTGTACACTTAAAACCTATGTAATTTTATTAACCAACCTCACCCCAATAAACTTAATTTTTAAAAAAAGTATTTTTCCACATTGAGTATTGTGTGCATTGTAGCTGCTGTTAGTCGGGTACTGTTTTCCTGCCACATGATGGATCATCTGTTCGTCAGTGATGCTCACTAACTCTGTTCCCCTGGAGACCTGATAAAGAAACAACAGCAACAACGTTGCTAAGCAACACTGCTTACGGTACACGTGACCCCTGACTGGTAAATAGTACCTGGTCTACAATGAACTGTAAGGGAACCGTAGTAAGCATCTGATCGGTATACCATACTTTGAGACTTCCCTTCATACAGTGACTCTTGAAACAGGCATGTCTCCTCTGCCTGACTCAAAACTTGCTGGGACATACAGGTCAAAAAATATCACAAAGCCAAGTGTGAGTCACATAGGCATTTTAGATTTAAGCCAAGTGAGCCAGCTATGTGTGGAAAAGTCTTTTTCAAATTCTAAATAGCCTACACTATTTTTTATGACTGACACCTAAACTGCCTTATAAACTATAAATACTCCATTTTTAATCATTCCCCAGGTTAGATGTAAGCAACACTGTTTTGCATCCAATTAAATTAAGGCATTTTTTGATGAAAACCAAGGCATAAACTTAAATTCATTACACAACTGCAGTAAATTTATGATTCAAATAAATTTTATCTATAATTTCCCAAACCACTATGGAAAGTTAACTCATTCATTTTATATAGTACAACACAGTGTGGGACTATATAAAAACTAAAAAGAAGAAAAGTTTTTCCAAGGAGCTGGCTTCCAACTTAATGCCTTGATAAAAAAGATTTTTATGTAATTTAAAAATCAAAATTACTTCCTAAGAAAAACTAATCCTCAGTGTAAATCATAGTTAAAAAAAATCATTCTTGATGGATAAAGATGAGACAAAACTTGCCAAAATGTAAGCGTGAGTATGCTTTAAATAGCAAAGAGTGGTATTTGTAATACTGCAAATGAAAATGCCAATGGTAACACAATACAACACAAAATCAAATCTGTGATTCCACTTTTTAAAACTCATGATGCCAGTGACTATCTAGTGTGAGACAGCTATGTCAGCTACTTAAGAAAGGTATTAACAGAACCAAATTCAGTATGGTCAGTGCAACACACAGAACTTCCTCTTTAATCATACTCTATGCCACCGCTTCTCTTGAAGGATCTTAAAAAGGAATGGTGTAGCTCCCCAAACCCACTCACATTCTGTTTTACTAGTCCTAGGATCCAGGAATGTGCATTTTTTAAAGTGCTGATTCTGGGGAACCCAAGAATAGGACTTCAGAGGGGCAGCAACTATGCCCACCTCACTTCCTGAATCCGGTCAGAAGACGTGGGTTTCACACACACATACGTGCTTTTTTGGAAATCTTTATTCTAAGTGTCGCTAAGTCTTACAATGAATGATAAGGTGAAATACATCTGTTTTCACTGAATTCCTTAATAACGTGTATCAACTTCAGAATAGTTTTGACCCCTGGTGACAGGAAGAAAGAAAGTGAAAGAATGAGGTAGAGATAATGCTTTATTTCTTAAAGAAGAAAAAAAGTGAAAAGTCTGAGGCAAGTATGGCACAAAGTTCCTATCTGTCATGAAATCTGAGTGAAGGTTCGCGTGAGCATCGCGGCACAGTAGGCCCCCTTGCCCGTGGTTTCAGTTTCCACTGTCAACAACGGCCTGAAAATATTAAATGAAAAATTCCAAAAATAAGCAATTCGTTAAGTTTTAAATGGCGCACCATTCTGAGTGGTGATAAAATCTCAGGCCATCCCGCTCCATCCCGCCTGGGACATGACTCCTCCCTCTATCCAGCATCTCTAGATGCTCCCTGCCCATTAGTCACTGAGTAGCCACCTGTCATCAGATTGATCATCACAGTCTTGCAGTGCTGGTGTTCAAGTCACCCTTATTTTACTTAACAATGCTACATTCATATATAACTTTTATTACAGCATATTGTTATAATTTAATTGTTCTATTTTGTTATTATTGTTGTTCGTCTCTTACCATGCCTGATTTGTAAATTAAACTTTACCATAGGTATGTATGTACAGGAAAGAACACAGTACATATAGGATTTGGTACCATCTGTGGTTTCAGGCATCCACTGAGAGACTTGGAATGTGTCCCCCACAGGTAAGGGGGAACTACTGCGTTTGCCACGCTTTTCTGTATGTTTAAAATACGTACTATTTCTTAAAGAAATCTAAATGCATGACATTATTCATAACATTATTCCAAAAGGCCCAACAGTACAAGAGCATCAATCAGCACAAGCCGCCACTACCTGGAGGAAGCAGCTGTCAATCAATGCCCTTCCTTAACTTCTATCACAGAAGAGTGCATTGATTTTATACCCCTCCTATTGGTTACAGAAAAAACAAGCATGACCTGTTTGCACCTGTTTAAAGCAGTGTTGTTTTTCACTGTGAACAAGAAGATTTAAGTAAGAATGAAAGAAAAGTGCCCTTCCTGGGGTCACATACCTGTGTCACTACCAGATCCCGTTGACAAAGCTGGCATGATGCAGGCTGCAGTCTGGACACCGCACTCCAAACACTCTGCTCAGAAAAGCCGCAGGGAATTCCAGCTCAACGGCCTGCAGCCACTCTGTCAACCAAGTATTATCACACAGGCCGTTTCTACAAAGAAAAGGCACATTTTAAACATGATAATAAGGAAGACTGCTAAATTACAATATTCTGTAACTAATTCTTATTCCAACACACTCCAGAGAGATCGTAATTCTTCAGAATTTTTTCTACATACTACATGTAAATATTAAGTGTGAAAGTTTTTAATTTTGATGTGATGTTTCTAATTAAAAACATGAAAGCTCTTCATGGATGTTTCAAGGCTTCCTTAAAGATTTTTACCATTGGTTTGAGGACTGTTGAATGCATAGATGGAGAATTTAAAGAAGATTTGTAAGCCAACGTCATTCTAAAATTCCCCTATTATAATTCTAAGTCATATTTCTAATGTAGAACAGAGACTCTATAAATTGTTAACTTATGACTAATTGTAATTTTAAAAAATAGCTCATCCTAACATGACAACTTCAAAGCTCTCTAACTGAAAACTGTTAATAACCTTGAAATACTAGAAATGAAGCAAGATGCTATTATAGATCTCAGTGTCAATAATCTAAATGAAACCTAACAATCCAAGCTAATATACAAAAGTAAATTCTTTTAGTAAAAACTAAGTTTTGATGTATTTTGGAAAAGAGCAGAAAAAAAATTTTTTTTTCGATGACTATTTTAACTAACAATCATCCCAAAATAAGCAAGAAGGGTACTTCTGTAGAGTAGCTAAAAGCAAGAGACTCTAGAGTTTGGCCTAATCTCAATTCCTGCTAGCTCTGTGATCTGGAACAAGTTATTTAATCTTATTAAGCTTTAATCTCTTTATATGCAAATGGAGATAACAATTTAGAATTGTCTGATAATTAAATACACTAAGGCGTACAACACAGCTTTTGGCACATGGCAGGCAAACAATAAATGTTGGCTGTTAAGAATGGAGTTGTTTAATTCAGGTAATGAGATTATAAAATGCAAACATAAAAGAAAGTAGCAAGATTAAAATTTATACTGGCCTGACACCTACAAGGCCATGTGGTTTAAATTTGGACCACTGCTGCCTAATAACGGAAAATACACTACATTTATATTTTTTAGAAATCAGAAGAACCACACAATGTGTTTAAGTTTGTTTTTAATGCATTTTCCCTAGTCCTCTATAAAGCAAATTCAGTAATTTAAAAGCGTATTTTAACATACATTAACAAGAAAAACAGATATTGTAAACACTTGAAAAACTGCCTCGATTCGATTATTAAAGTCTTTAAATCCATGATTCATATTACAGAAGAAAAATGGGCTTGCCAAATTTCACTTGAAAAAGTCCAAATTGTAAGATTCTATTAAAGCCTTCTAAATTAGCTTTTTAATTATCAAAGTGAATGTTAGTATGAAAAAATTCACCATCAGATAGACTGTCTAAGATAGTCTATCTGGTGCAATGTCTTGAATTTTGTATTATTACAAAGGTAGACAAAGTTCAAGTAGAAATCCACACAGAGAGGAGTGTTAATTAAAAATATGAGAGCAGTCATTTTAAGCACCAAATGAAAATATAAACCACTACGCTAAAAAATAAAAATAAGAGAAAAAGACAAAGCAAAGTTTCATTAATGGTCATCTCTGAAGTTGTTTTCCCCAATAATTTAAAAAGGCAACTTTGCTTTGCTTTTATAAATTATTCTAACAATCAGGATTCAGATTCAACTACATAAAAGTGCTCCTAAATTCATACACAAAGAAATTCAAAAATAGACCACACATAATTTAAAAAGAAACAGTCAATAAATAGACTTTTATATGGCTGCTGAAAAAAATAGAGGAGGAATTTGTAAAGTATGTACACATTTCTACCATTAGGACAATAGATATGTACGTATGTGGGTAGGTAGTTATTATATGTGTGTATGGAATTTAAACTTTTTATTCCATGAGAAAAATCATAATAATTTGCATGGTATATAGACTAACTACAGAACTATACATACCATGCAAACTCCCATTTTCTACAAACTTAAAAAAGCTACAGTGTTTCACTTTTATAAACCATAGACACCATATGAGCAAACTTATGCTAATATCACCCTATTAATACTAGGACAACCTTACATTCCACATTACAACATTTCTGAGTTGATATTGCTACCATATATACATACATACATATATGCCATACATGAAAGGCCTTAGCATTTCTCATTTTTTATTTCATAATGAACACTCAGGTTAAATTTTTCCAAAGTCATATTATTTAAGAAGTATATGGTACAAAGTAATTATCTTCTCAGAACAAATATATTAATAAGAAATAAGAGGTTTGATAAAATCCCAACCACTAAAATGCTCAATATTTTGTGGAACGAAGCAGGGTTTAACTTTCAAACTGAACTAAATTTTTGTAGTAATCATGTTATTTTCTTTGGCTAAATTTATTGAAAATGCTTTGGAATTTGTCAGAATCCCGCCATAATTATTACTGACTGTTGTATGGAATCGATTTACTACAACACAAAAATACCAGCTGTTACAGTATGTCCTGAGAGGGATTACCGAATATTCTTAAATTGAAGTTCAATACATCTTTCTATAAAAAAGAGAGAGCCCCAAATGCCAGGAACATAACAGTGGTATCAAATGCACCTGAAGCATTTACAATACCCAATAGAACTATTACAACCATCCTTTAAAAAGGCTTATTTTTGAAATTTCATTATTCCAGTTGTACCTTGCTTCTATATATCACACTGTATCAGGTTCATTTGGCATCTATCATGTGGAAACACTGAAATATGTGAAGGTCTACGAGCTTACAATGTCCAATTTCTACCAGCCCCGGATAACCCTTAGGGCTCCCGCGGCACTTGTGACATCTAGTGGTCAATCGCATAAATGCAAGTGTTTGTAGCAAAGTGAGTTTTCAATAAAGAATTGTCTTAATTGCAGCCAGTGAAATAGCCATCTGCAAAAAAAAATGTATATACACACTATTAAAGAAACGCACACTCTTCTTGTGTGTCTCCTCTACTCCCAATACTCACTTCCATACTACTTCACTTCTGATGCCAGATGTGGTCTTCACACATCAAACAATTCTACAACATCAGCGAGTGCCCTACAATTTAATCTAATTCCAACACAATCCCACAGGTTAAAGGCTCAATCCTACAGGACTTCCCCTCCACCTTCACATGTCAATCGAAAGTCCAGGGTGTCACCTGTGCTTCTGATCAATTAACTATAAATCAGAGGTTCCCACAACTCCCTCCCAGGCTTTGATTAATATGCTAGAGCAGCTCAAAGGACTCAGGAAAATATTTACTTACAAGATTATTGGTTTATTATAAAAGAACGCACTCAGGTACAGACGGATAGAAGAGATATATAGGGCAAGGTATGTGGAAAGGGGCACGAAGCTTTCATGTCCTCTCCCCACACCGCCACATGTTCACAAACCCAGCAGCCCTCTGAACTCTGTCCTTTTGGATTTCTATGGAGACTTCTTTATACAGACATAATTGAGTAAATCACCAGCCATTAGTGACTGACTCAACCTCCAACCTGTCTCCACCGGGAGTAGGACTGCAAGTTTCAACCCTCTGCTCAAGGTGGATCCCCTGGCAACCAGCCTGCAGTCTTACAGGCTTTCCAAAAGCCACCTCACTAACATAAACTCAGGTGTGACTGAACGAGCCACCTTTATCACTCTTGACACTTAGGTAATTCCAAAGATTTTAGGAGCTCTGTGAGGAAAGGAAAAAAAAAAAAAGAGGAAGACCAAATATATATTTCTCATTATAAATCAATTATTTATATTACGCACACCCATAAAATTAATGCAGATGAACAAAAAAGAAAGTACTGGACGCCATTTCCGAAGAGATTTCCCCTCAAGTTAGGGGAAGTATTCAAGAATATTCAAATTTTTAATTGTCATCACAAGTATTTAATGATCATATGAACATTCTATCATTTCCGGCAACCATGACTATACCCAGATCCAACCGTAGATTACTTCTCCATAGACAAATACTCTAAAGTGACACTTTCAAAAACTAACAGAGCACTAGAATAACACAAACAAGAGTAAACCTTTATAAATCTAATATAAAAAAATTTTTAAAGCTCAATTTTTGCAAATCTAACATCAAAGATTTTTAAAAAGCTAAAAAGATTCACTGGTTATATTAGCAAATGCAAGCAGCAAACTGGTATCTGTTAACATTCAAACCTTCATAAATGATAACAGTAAGAAAATAAAGGAGGCAACATATAGCTAAGTGGCATAAATCTGCTTATTTAAAATGGTATTTATACCAGCATTTCTGAAAGTGTGGTCTGCAGACCCCAGTAGACTCCAAAACCTTCTGAGAGAGGTGCACGAGGTCAAATTATTTTCATAAAAATATTTTAATACTTTAATAGTAATTAATGTATTAGTTACATTAATTAATATTAATTATATCAATATTTTAAGAATATATTAATTTTCATTTTTTATAAAAATCAAAATATTATGTGCCTTTCGCATTGCATCCACATTTGCACCAATGATAAAAAGCTATGGTGGGCAAAACCGCTGGTACCAAATTGAAATCATTCCTCCCTTAAAAAAAAAAAAAGGAAAAAAGTTCACTAATGAAGCAGTAAAAATTAATCATTAACTGACAAGTATCCATCTTTTTAATATTCTGTGTGATGAAATGGGAAGTCACAGAGAAAGTGCTGCTACAGTAAATGAAGTAATGGCTGGCTTCAAGAAAAGCACTTGTGAGGGTTTCTGTAAACTGAAAGTCATTTTTTCATGTAACGCCATTTTTACTTGAAACCAGTAACTGAAAGACAAATTATTCAGGCTATTCGGATTAATCAGGCTTGAGTATTTGGTAAACATTTTCTTGCAAATTAAAAGAGTGAGTCTGGGACTTCAAAGAAAACTGACAGCATGTGTTGCTGATGTTAAAACAAACTTTCAAGCAAAACCCAGAATTTTAGAAAACTTGCATCCATTAGAGGCTGTCCTCACTTTGTAAGGTACAGTGTTAACCGAGAAATGCAAA